CTTACATGACCTCTGACCTTTGACCCCTAAATGTATTCCTGTTGTATTGGTTGTCATAGTGAATATATGTAAAGTTTGTATGAATGTCGTAGATCGTTCCTTTCTTAAGTTAAGCTTGAGACATACACACTAAGTTAGATTCAGTAAGACAAATAATACTCAGTCTATATCTTAGTCGACCCTCCACACACACACACACACACACACACACACACACACACACACACACACACACACACACACACACACACACACACACACACACACACACACACACAAGACACTAAATTACCACCTAGTTACTTTCCTTTAAAAAAATAAATATTAAATATATAACTTGGAAAATGTGTTCTATAAAAGTATAATTTATTCAGAAGTAAAAGTTTTGAAGTATGAGATGTACACACTCACTGACACAGCCTCTCACTCCATGAAGTATATAGAATTTGAGTGCGTTGGGAAAGTGTTTTAAGTTCGCTACAGTTTACGCCAGAACAACTTATCAAGCAACTTTTATTTTTTTCTCAGTTTCGTATTAAATATTTCCTAACGTCAATACTTGGAAAACCGTCATTTGAGTTTGACGTGTCTTATTTTTTCCCCCGAGATCGTGTGGTAAAAAATTTATTAAAATCTTTGTTCCTGGTTTTAGAGTAAGTATTTCCCGGTTAAATAAACTTGTTCCCGGTTTTAGAGTATATGTTTCCCGGCTGATTAGATGTGTTCCCGGTTTTAGAGTCAATGTTTCCCGGCTGATTAGATGTGTTCCCGGTTTTAGAGTCCCGGCTGATTAGATGTGTTCCCGGTTTTAGAGTCAATGTTTCCCGGCTGATTAGATGTGTTCCCGGTTTTAGAGTCAATGTTTCCCGGCTGATTTAGATGTGTTCCCGGTTTTAGAGTCAATGTTTCCCGGCTGATTAGACGTGTTGTTTCTCCGTCACCTGGCTTCTCTCACCACCACGTCTGTTTTCTCTTGTTCTTGAGGTGTGTAGAACAGTTGATAGAACAATGGTGAATAACATGAGGTAGTTTTATCAGAGTAGATATGATTAAGAACTGTATCATTACGTAGAATAGATAAATAGATTTAGTGTCATGGAGTTTTACGTAAGTTCTGAGGAAAAGATGAGAAAAAAAATATGAATTACTTGAATATTCGTCTCTTAAGTTATTTCACATGTAGATTAATCACCCTAGCGATACCTGTGGGAGTTTTGTTTAAGTTAGATTTGATTAGGTTGGGTTAGGTTAGATTTTGGTTAGGTTAGGTTTTGGTTAGGTTAGGTTAGGTTAGGTTAGATTTGATTAGGTTTTGGTTTTGTTTGGTTGGGTTAGGTAAGGTTTTGGTTAAGTTGGGTTAGGCTAGGTCCTTAGGTCTGGTCCTCCTGCCGAAAACATCCCAAACTAACCTAACTTCCTAAAGAGAAACTTCCCCTAACATCTCCAAGTTATTTATCTGTTAAGTTTTGTTGGGAAGTTTGTCTTACTAGGTCACGCTCCACAGTTTTGTTTTGTTTTATTGTTTTCTTAACCACGAGATACAGTAAGAGACCGTGAACAAGGGGTCCAGGTCTCAGTACGTGACGAGGCGACCCATGACGTGAGGCACATCATCTCGGAGTCACGTATCCCTGGCAGGCTGAGGCAGGATGCATCTATTTTTCTCTGACAAGTTGTGAAAATGTATTGTTGTTTTTGTAGAGTTGTTAGTTTTTGTCAGTTATGGGAGTTATTTTTTACAGGATTAGCCCACCCGTGCACTGGTCACTGACCCACATCGGGACCTGGGGGGGGAATGTAATAATAATAACAACAACAACAACACTGATAATAATAATAATAATAATAATAATAATAATAATAATAATAATAATAATAAAGAACTTTAAAGAAATACAAAAATGAAAAAACAGATCAATAGTGAGAAACGATATATGTACTGTATGTCATATGGCAGCAAGGTCTACCATTACACAACACATTATGCTTCCAATATCTTCCCAGGCGGTAGTACCTCCCTGTTTGGTAGCTGCCTACTACCTGTGTGTTGTTGTATGTTTGTTTTGGGATTTTTATATTAGAAAGAATTATATTTTTACCTGAATCCATTACGTTAGTTGTTGATGATCTTCGAGAAATGAAACCACCTTATGTACAGCACATTGTATAACTTGTTTGACATATTTAGGAAGCATTAGGGTGAAAGTTGCTTGTGTTGGCAGGAAAACCGGTCAAGAGTGTAACGAGGTTATTATTTGGAGTAATTGCCGGGTTGTAATTGGTTAGTAAGTGGGTGAGAGGGTGTTTGGTTGGTGGGGAAGGGGTGGTAGGAAGTGGGATGTGGTTGTGGGATGTGATGAGGCTGTGGGATGTGGTGGGTGGGGGTGTGGTTGTGGGGTGGGGTGAGGCTGTGGGATGTGGGGTGGGGTGTGGTGGGGTGGGTGAGGGAGCGGAAGGAAGTGAGATGGGTGGGGGGTAAGGGAGAGTGGTGAGGAGGAGGAAGCGGTGATGGAGAGAGAGAGGAGAGAGGGGAGGCACTGTGGGTCAAGGACTGTTATTGTGGCACGGGGCTATGTTGGTGGTAATGGTGGGAGGAACACAGGGCCCTCACAGTGGTTATGTATATTTTAATTCTTCCTCCTCCTCCTCCTCCTCCTCCTCCTCCTCCTCCTCCTCCTCCTCCTCCTCCTCCATTCACCTCATCTTCCTCTTCTCTATTCATCTCCACCTCTTCTTCCGTTTTCATCCAGCTTTCCTTTCTCACTTCATCCTCTCTCCTCCTTTCTACTTCCCATCACTCTACCCACGTTGTTATTCCTGTTATTCTTTCTTTATCCTACACCTCGTCTTCGCTCCCCCTTCTCCCCACTCTCCTCCTTCCACTTCTCTTTCGTGTTAATATTTATCTTTGTGTCTCTATTTATCTCTCCCACCTTTCCTCTTCCTATTCTCTTTTGTTTTATCTCTGTGTATGTATCTCTCCTTCCCTCTTATAATTCCCTCCTATTCTCCCACCCTCTTCCCTTCTCCTCCCCCTTATCGTCCTTTCTCCTCCCCCTTATCACCCCTCTCCTCTCCCTTATCACCCCCTCTCCCCTTATCACCCTCCTCCTCCCCCTTATCGTCCTTTCTCCTCCCCATCCCCCCTCCTCCTTATCACCCCTCTCCTCCCCTTATCCCCCCTCCTCCTCTCTCTCTCCCCTCTCCCTCCTCCCTCTTATCACCCTCTCTTCCTCTCTTCCCCTCTCCCATCCTCCACCTCACTACCACCACAACTGACCCAATATCAGCTGATCCACACCTGCCAGACCCTCATTACCACACCTGTTGTGCCCTTGTAGCTGAGTGGCTGAAAGAGGGGGGGGGTTGGTGATAGAGTGAGTGGGTGGCGTTGGGGGAGAGGGGAATGGCATAGGGTTAACTAGGATCTGGTAGGGAAGTGGGAGGATGGTGAGAGAGGGAAGGAGGGAGAGAGGTTTTGTTGGGGGGGGGGGGTTGTGGACGGAAATAGTGGTAGTGGGGGAGGTTGGAGATAAAGGAGGAAAACTCGTAGTAGTGAGGAGTGTTGGGGATGAAGGAGGGAGGAGTGTGGCACCGATCACGGATGTGTTGAGGGAATGTGGTCAAGGTCGACTCTGCCTTGCTTGATCGCCTTGCCCTCACCACGCCCCCAAAATATAGAGCATATGTGATATTCTAGTGTGTGTGTGTAGTGCTCTAGTGTGTGTGGTGCCTAGTGGGTGTGTGTGGTGCTCTAGTGTGTGTGTGGTGCTCTAGTGGTGGTGTGGTGCTCTAGTGGGTGTGGTGCCTCTAGTGGGTGTGTGTGGTGCTCCAGTGGTGTGGTGGGGTGTGGGGTGTGGGTCTAGTGTGGTGTGTGTGGTGCTCTAGTGGTGTGGTGGGTGTGTGGTAGGTGTGTGTGGTCTAGTGGTGTGTGGTGGTGTGTGTGGTGCTCTAGTGTGTGTGGTGCTCTAGCTCTAGTGGGTGTGGTGGTCTAGTGGGTGTGTGGTGCTCTAGTGGGTGTGGTGGTCTAGTGGTGTGTGTGTGGTGGGTGGTGGGGTGTGTGTGGTGCTCTAGTGGGTGTGGTGTGTGTGTGTGTGTGTGGTGCTCTAGTGGGTGTGTGGTCTAGTGGGTGTGTGGTGCTCAGTGGGTGTGGTGCCTCTAGTGGGGTGTGTGTGGTGCTCTAGTGGGTGTGTGGTCTAGTGGGGTGTGTGGTGCTCTAGTGGGTGTGTGGTGCTGTCTGTTACACGTGTCTGTGTGTGTGTGTGTGTGTGTGTGTGTGTGTGTGTGTGTGGTCTAACTAGTTTGAGGTGTGAAGTGCCACCCATGTTGTGCCAGGCGGTTACCACCCGTGTTGTGTGCTGGGGTACAAGTCTTATGAGTGTAGGGTGCCACTTTTACTGTGCCAGACGTGTTAGTGTGGGGGTGCCAGCCGTGTTGTTAGGTGTGGGGTGCCAGCCGTGTTGTTAGTGTGGGTGCCAGCCGTGTTAGTGTGGGGAGCCAGCCGTGTTGTTAGTGTGGGGTGCCAGCCGTGTTGTTAGTGTGGGGTGCCAGCCGTGTTAGTGTGGGGTTGCCAGCAGTGTTAGTGGGGGTGCCAGCCGTGTTGTTAGCCGTGTTGTTAGTGTGGGGTGCCAGCCATGTTAGGGGTGGGGTGCCAGCCATGTTAGTGTGGGGGTGCCAGCCATGTTATTGTGGGGTGCCAGCCATGTTAGTGTGGGGGTGCCAGCCATGTTAGTGTGAGGGTGCCAGCCAGCCATGTTAGCCATGTCGTGTAGTGTGGTGTGCCAGCCATGTTAGTGAGGGTGCCAGCCATGTTAGCCGTGAGGGTGCCAGCATGTTAGTGTGAGGGTGCCAGCCGTGTTAGTGTGAGTGCCAGCTGTAGGTGTGGAGGGTGCCAGCCATGTTAGTGTGAGGGTGCCAGCCATGTTAGTGTGAGGGTGCCAGCCATGTTAGTGTGAGGCCAGTGCCAGCTGTTATGGAGGGTGCCAGCCATGTTAGTGTGAGGGTGCCAGCCGTGTTAGTGTGAGGGTGCCAGCCGTGTAGTGGACGAGGAGTGCCACTCATCCCGGACGTTCAAATTTTTTTTTCTGTGTTTTTCTTGTTTAGAAACCAGATTCAGCTTTGCCATGTGATGTTCTGCCCCGTCTCATCCCGCCGCTCCCCTCTCAGCCCCGCCTCGCCCCTCTCAGCTCCGCCTCGCCCCTCTCAGCCCCGCCGCTCCACCTTCAGCCCCACTTCGCCCCTCTCTTCTTCGTGTGATCCAACCCTCGTGGCACCACACAGGTTCTCACTGCCCCTTCAATTCTCCAGTAGGTGCAGGAGGCGACCATGTGCGACACGGGTGTAGTGTGTCAGTGTTGGTGCGGAGGAGAAAGTTGTGTTGGCGCGTGCAGCGTGGAGGTGCTCATGCGCGCGCGTGTTGGCCTTACTCTCGTCATTATTGCCACACTCCCGCAGGAGTCGCTGGGGAACAACCTTCGCTGGTGAGAGTAATTGTTGAGCAGTGGGTGGATGTGAGAGCTGTGAGCGGGTGGGACCTGGAGGCAGTCGTCGTTGTGCAGCACCCGGAGCTGCACACACCCTCAGCTACACACACATCCTCGGCCACACACACACAAGTACACACATACACTCACACAGGCACTGGAGGGAGGCAGGACCGGCTCTACAGGTGGGTGCGGGGGGCTCAAGTGTCTAATGTTATACCCTGGACTCATACAGTGTTGCCAGCACCCTCTCTCACCACATTGTCCTCACCCCCCTCCTCCTCTGGCAACATGGCCGTAGGGTGGCACTGTCCTCGAGTATATAAGGACACCTACTTCCTCCCCCTGGTCAGTCACAGCCACTCTCCACCCCGGCAGTGACCAACCCATCAAGTGTGTTCTTGTGCAGTGAAGCGATAGGTAATTAGTGTGCGAGTGGACAGGTTTTCAGATAGAGGAGTGCCTCATTTGGGAAACGGGAAACCAGATATATCTTGCCTGCGCTCAGTGACTCCTGACTTCCTCTGTGTTTGGGTGACAGACAAACATTACACTTCAGTGTGTCAACTTTCTGGCTGAAGAATACATCCGTGACCTGCTCGAAACTTGACGCGTACGGTCACCTGTGAGGTGGACGAGGGGAATTTAGTCGTGGTGAGGTTCCTCTCACCAGCGTCCCACACTATTTTCCTCCTCTAGTGCCCCCTCATTAGTGTCCCTCACCTGTGCCCCATCATATTTGGGACACCCCTTGTCAGCGACCGCCACTTATGGTTTTCCACAAGTAGAACGTCCCCCCTGAGTGTCCTTCACTGCCTGAGTGAGAAGGAGAGGATAAGGGAGCCCTCACAGCCTGCTAAAGAAGGAAGGCTCCGCGGTTCCAGACCCACAGGTTTGGCCCCTGCCACCGCTCTCCCTCTCGGTGGTGGGAACATTCAGTACACACTTGAGGCTGGTGTGACTTGGAGCTAGTTGATGCAGGGCGGCGTCAGTGCCCTCTCCCCTTCCTTCGTCACCGCCCTCGTCAGGAGCCTCGTCATGTCTACTAAATGTACAGCGGTGCGGCGGAAGGGGCGACAACAGCGACAACGGCGGCGCCTCATCTCCGCCCCAAAGCCACGACCGTCTTCGTCGTCGTCCCCATCATCGTCCACAGCAGGAGAGGCGGCCCCCGAGACGTCACGTCCCCAACTCCACCGTCAGCAGCCTAGTAAGATTATCTTGTTCCCTTGTCCTTGTTGACTTGATCCCTGTGTTAGGTATTTAGCCCTTAATTACCGGCCATGTGTGTGTGTTGTGGTCGTCCATGTTGGTTTACTGATAATGTCGGTTGAGAGAGAAGTGTGGTGGGAGAGTTATGTGCGGGTGTAAAAGTGCACACCTGTCTTGGTATACATGTGTAAAATACTGTAAGCCTGTCCAGAAGTGCACATTAAAAACACAAGGACAGGTGTACAGTGTTGGGATATAGGTCAGATATCTTCTTTACGGTGGGCAGGTGTAATTGTACACTGTGGGATTTGACCTAGTACTGTGTTGATGAACTACTGAAGTAATATACACCTGTAGCGATGTAGAGGTAAGTGTAGTGATGTACGTAGATAATTTAGGTATGTAAATTAGAAGAATTTATAATAAGACTTTTAACTGAAAATTAAAACAGGTTAATTGAGAATGCAGGTGTAAACTTATGAGTATTGCAGGAATTATAGTATTTTATTTGATTATTTTTAGTATTTTATTTAGTTATTGTAGAATTTTATTTAGTTTTTGTAGAAATTTATTTTGAATTATTTTAATCAAATGGTGACATAAAAGGGGAAATATGTACCTTAACCACAAGAGTATTACGGAAGGTTAACTCGGTGTTCTCTGAGGTCAAGACAGATTATACCTTCACCTGCCACCTCCTACCTCTGGCACTGATTATATGTTCAAGTAATAAGTGTCGGTCTGTTTATATGTATGTATATAATGTTATGGATCACCTGAATATCCCCCCCCCCCCCCTTCAGCTTAAATTACCTAAAGATTAACTACCCTAATTTTAACCTAACCTAACCTCATCCCTCCCCAAATAATGTTAGGGTGATTAATCTCTAGGTGAAAATAAGCTAGGGGGGGGGGGGGGAGAATATTGAGGTGGTCCAAAATTATTGAGACATTTTCACCTTAAAATTTTAACCCCTTGTGTACGGTGGTTTCTCTGTGCTGAATAAAATCGTCTGGTGTAGTGGAAAGGTTAATGTTCTAGGAATGAGTGGTACAGTCGCCTCCCCTTATACCTATTACAGTGGCTGATGCGTTTTGTGAAATGTTGCAACTCTGTGGAAGGCTTAGTCTGACTACTATGAGGTTCGTTTGGGCTATTCTGTGAGGTTTAATACAATGTAAACAAACACAAATATGCCACATCTCACAAAAAAGCGCCAGCCACTGTACCAGGTATAATTGGAGGCGACTGGACATGTTGTTAAGTATAAGCCGATGATGTAATGCTGGAAATCTTATCTCGCTGGCTAGACAGAGAAGCCAGAGATAATATTTACCACAGACCGAGTAACAGTTCTCATATGTTGCCGACTAGACAACAGTGATGTACAGATAGTGTTTCCTTACCCGGGCTGACACGTATTGCTAACCTCCTGAATATCATAACATAACATAATTAAACTTAACCTAACCCGCCAGATAGCTTGAGGGTATTTAATCACCAGGTAAAATAAATCTATGGAAGGGGGGGGGGTGGTGGTGCTAATCTTCAGGTGATCCATCTCTTATTAAAGACTAGTTGTGGTCTTCATAGGTTATAGTAAGTTATTGGATAGTTAAGAGCTGCACGTCACAATAATTTCTGAAGATGATGTCACTCTTGGGGGGACATGACGAGCTGTTGTTATCTGTTGAGTGACACTTGTGATATTTATTGACATTTTGCTTGTTATCATGTACAGTTGTGTGTGTGTGTGTGTGTGTGTGTGTGTGTGTGTGTGTGTGTGTGTGTGTGTGTGTGTGTGTGTGTGTGTGAAAAAGTATACCAAACATACTTAAATAAACAGATATATTAATTATACCTCACAAGATTATATTAACTTAAATATGACTTAACCATAACATACATACATACATACATACATACATACATACATACATACATACATACATACATACATACATACATACATACATATTACATACATACATACATATTACATACATACATACATATTACATACATACATACATACATATTACATACATACATACATACATATTACATACATACATACATACATACATACATACACTCTAACTATATAACTGGTGTATGTGTTAAGGATTATATGCCTTAGTTATTACCATTAAGATAACCTGGAAGGGATTATAGCACATTAAGTTATGTTATTAATAAGAAACTAAACTACATGGACATAAGATAACAAACAATAATTAATAACAATAACTAATAAATAAAGGCGATAACATAAATAACACGAAGAACCTTGAACCATGATTATTATTGTAGTAAAAAATAATAGAAAAAAATAAATAAACAAAATAAAATATAGATAAGAAAAATAAAAAATAAAAAATAAAATCCTCCCTTGACAGATATGACAAGACAAGAGACAGATGAAGGTCGCCCATGACATAGCAGGCATGTGACAGGACGACTAAAATGACATTGACAGTCTAAATTACCGTCTCATTACTACACATCGACCATGGACGGGAGGGTCTGTATATAGATACACCTATCCTTGGGGTCTGTCAAGTTGTGGGGGGTCTTTGGTATCTGTCTAACTGGTTTCGCTTCTTAGTTTAGGTCTTAAGTAGTTATGGTCTGGTCTATTTTAAGTCTTAGTGGATAACTAGTGATATAAACAGGTGTAGACAGACATATATAATAATAATAACAAAGTGAAATATATATAAACATAACGATGGATAATAACAACGTGAGGTAGTCAGATATAAACATTGATAAAGATAAACATTGATAAAAATTCATAAACATACACGCCATATAAACACTCATCCTTAAAGTGTGTTACAGTGTATTTATATATAAACTCTTAAAAGATGTGTATTAAGAACTTTGAAATGGCTGTAACGAGAGAGAGAGAACTGATCTCCGTGTGTTGAGATGAAAAGTGGACTTGAACCTTTCTCCTGTGTGACCCCTCCCCTCCTCTCTTCTCCCCTCCCGTCTCCCCCTCTCCCTTCCCCATCCTCCCCGCCATCACTAGCTCTTAGGACACGTGACCTTGCAACATAACAACAACAAAGAGAAGGAGGAGGTCTTGCAACATGGTTCTGGTAGTTGGGTAGGAAGAGGAGTGTTTGTCTTAATGAGAGTAGGAGGGGAGGGTCCTTCTCTCCTATAGGTAGTTAGTGACGTCATGGGCTCAGGTACACATGTAAATATTGTGTTGTGTTTTTGTATGTCGCTTGCACACACACACACACACACACACACACACACACACACACACACACACACACACACACACACACAGTTTCTTATCGGCACCAGCATCCGGTTGTCTTACACCATACACCACACACTTGTGTAGGCATGAATGACCACACTCCATGTATGAATGGCCGTGGCCACACTCCATGTATGAATGACCGTGACCACACTCCATGTATGAATGACCGTGGCCACACTCCATGTATGAATGACCGTGGCCACACTCCATGTATGAATGACCGTGGCCACACTCCATGTATGAATGACCGTGGCCACACTCCATATATGAATGACCGAGGCCACACTCCATGTATAAATAATATCATAATATGCATGAAGCAAGCAAGCTTTTGACACTTGACACCTCTGCATAAAGGAGTACGTGTGTGTGTGTGTGTGTGTGTGTGTGTGTGTGTGCGTGTGTGTGTGCGTGTGCTTAATAATAATAACAAACTCCATTAACTATAAGCCAGGTTAAAAGGTTGAAATATACAAAAGTCACACTTCAAACATAAACAACATCTCGTATAGTAACATGAGGAGGGTAAGGATCATCAAAATGTTCTTTGTTTTCATTCATTACTGGAGGAAAAAAAGTGGATTGAATACACACGTTACCTACGAATCCTTGATGATGTTGACAGTGGTTGGTGTGTGTGTGTGTGTGTGTGTGTGTGTGTGTGTGTGTGTGTGTGTGTCTGTGTGTGTGTGTGAGTGAGAACAGTTACAACACAGAGGTATCCTGGTATTTTTCTCAACCACTGGGCACATAGTGTAGCCAGATAACTTACTCAATGACGGGCTGACTGATGTATTAACTAACTCAACTGCTCTAACACACACACACACACACACACACACACACACACACACACACACACACACACACACACACACACACGCAAATTTTCTATCCGCGAGTGAATTTAAAGAGCGTAACTAAATTATTTCTACTTCTGTATTGGGAGAATTTTTTGTGCTTTTATGTTGAGGATAAAATTATATTAAGGTTAATGACGAAAGGTTATAAATTCCTATGTTCTTTATTGAGGATTTGATCGCGTAATGTAATAAAGAATAGGAGGATCAAGGTGTTTATTTCAGGTATAAAATTTGATGGGAATAGTTTTGTCTTTTCCTCGCATTATAGTTGATTAAATCCCTTTATTATGGATGAGCTAAATGATGTGATCCTTTATTTTACGTTGGTATAAAGAATCAAGTCCTTTTTAAAGTATAATAAATCACCTTATCTCATAAAGGAATGGGTGTCTTGATGTCCCTCAGTTATATTTACAATGAGTCATCTGAACCCCTGTGAACCCCTCTGAACCCCTGTGAAGTTATGTGAACCCCTGTGAAATAATTTGAATCCCTTTGAACTCCTTTGAACCCATGTGAAGCCTTGTGAAATCATGAGAACCTGTATGTTGTCAAGGGGTTCATAGGTGTTGATCCCCATGTTAAGAGTTCAGAGGTGAGGCCATCAGAGTATTAAAATCATATCATGTCTCTGTACTTCACAACACACACAACCTCTCAATGTTTTTTTTTTTTTACAGGAATTATAGCGCCATAGTTACTTGTAATTTCCCTGTGTACCCGAGTAGTAAGTTTTATTTTACATTAGGAATTGGAACCGAAGACCCAGCAGGAGGGGGAGGAGGAGGAGGAGGAGAGTTGTACCTGTGTAACCGAGTCATAGGTTTTGAACATTATTAACAGGAGACTGG